GTCACGGAATCAAAGGTGAGCAGAGAAAAAGGCATTTCCCAGAACAATGTCCAGAGAGGCAATTCATCAGTGATGAGTACCAGTAAGTGCTTCAACACATTCCCCAGGAGAATAGAGAGACAGGGCCAAAGAGGGGGAAAAAAGAGCATAGGAGCAGCACTGAGACAGTGGTGCCATGAATACTCCCCATTTCCTCTTCCACACTCATAACATCCACCCCCCACAGGCTCTGAAAGGTCCAAATGGCCAAAGGAAGGGGAGGGTAGTATAGATCAACAATACCCCCTTCAGACCCCATCCTCACATGCATCTGTAGCTGAAAGAAGAAAGAAAAGTAAAAGTGTTGGGGGTGAGAGGTGGGAGGGGTAGCACATAGATGATCAGAGAAAAACCAAACCAATAGGGCAAAGGCCTAGGCAGCCATCCTCACTAATGATGTGGTTCCACTGGTCTGCTTTACTCCAAATGATCCTGACCTCATGTAGGAACCATCTGCCTGGACTAGTAATGACAGCATCTGAGCTGTGCGGCCAGATACTTCTGTTCACTGAGAGTACAAAGGACTGTATCCAAAAAAACAATTAACAAGGAGCCTGGAACTATCACATTATAATCCTTAAACACTTCACCGATGAAAAGGAGAGTGAGAAAAAAAGTTAAATCAGGTAAATACCCCTGAATAGACACCAAAATTAATTAGTTAATATATAATTAATTAAATAGGAGGAAAGTATCATTTCTGTCCAACTTCCATATCAGAAAATTTGTGCTCCACAGATGCTTACAAAATACCCCGAAAATAGGAAGCAACAAGACCTAAATGTTACCCCTTCTCCTACTCACCTTGACTCCTGGACAGTGTGACAGATGGTTGGTTCCTCCTTTTGCTTCCCCACAGCCTTTTAGGTCAGTGTGTCTACCTGGCAGCATACCAAACAGACAAGGCTCCCAGGGGCTCTGTGGCTATTAATCAAAAGCTACAGTTCCTCTCTTGTGACCTAGTAAGACTCATGGTATAGGCAAGGGCATAGGGACCATTCTGGGAATAAACATGGAAAAATGGACCATTCCTGAGAGCCAAGGTAACCTCTGTCTGTCTATGTGCCAGCTCTGTTACTGGCCATTGTGCACTTACGTCTAGCCTTCCCTCAGCAAGAATGATGAGAAGTCCTCACTGGAAGACTTGGCCAAAATTTAAAGATCACAAATGAGTTTTATGTCTATGAATAACCAGAAGGCTAAACTGGTTATTCACTTTTTTTCCCCTGAAAAAGTTGTCAGAGGCAGTGTGTGCCTTGGTCACACTGAGCAGGAAGCTTTACAAAGAGATCCCAAAGAGAAGATGTGCAGATTCCCAAAGGTCATATGGCCAGGCCAAGAAAAAAAATATTTTACTTTCAAGAGCCATAAGTTCACCCAGAGGACCAGGAGCAAGAGGTCTTGAAAGCGGGTGTAAATAAAACAGACAGGAGTCACAGAGAGACGCCCCAAGTTCAAAATTTCAATCAGGTGAATATATATGAGCTGCAAGGACCGAGAGGTAGGAAGGAACTGGCTTGAAGGGCTGGGAATTCAGGGACCAGAATGAGGCATACAGGTAATTATTACTAGTTGGAAAGCACTATGTGATCTGGGAACAGCAGAAAAAGTCAGCTCTATTCTACAACTCCAGCTCCATGGAACTAATGAAATAGGAGAAAAGGTTTAAAAGATGTTCAGAAAAAAAGCCACAGAGAAGGCAGAAGTGATCACATAAGCAAGAGTACAGGCAGAAAGGACAAATGTCTGGAGGTAGGTCAGGATCAGACCTCAGATGGTCTCAAATACTAAGGTCAGGGCTTAGCATCTGAAGTCCTTGACCATGGGCAGTGGGAAAGGGTTTAAAGAGAAGTACTGATGTGATCAGAATTAGACGGATCTCAGACAGCTAAGTAAGGAGACCAGAAGCACCAGAAAATCTGGGATGGAGAAATAGCTATTAGTGGCTGGCTCTGGTTCAAGGCGTACCATGGTTATGAGACACTTATACTTGGCCAGCAGTGTCTGTATGCCTCCTTGTTTTATAGTATGATAATTCTATATATAATTATGAAATTATGGTAATTCTTAAAGCATTTTGCATTTCCTTATTTAGGGCTAACGCTTACAGGTAGCAATCTGCCTTCCTGACATTTGGGTGACTTTACGGTTTCCTTTCTGGACTGAAGTATGAGGAAGTACAAAGTACATTCCCCATTTGCTATGATACCTTGACATCCACCTCTACACCAAGGTCTTAGTACTCAGGATGGGGTATTGGAACACAGAACACTTAGCTGTAAAAGTGGGATATGCTAGAGCCCTAATGGGATCCACAAACACCAATATGCTAGGGTAGGAGGAAGGGTGGTGATCTAGAGGACAAAAAGCCACACTTGCTCTTTTCCTTCTCAACTGGTAAAGTCCCTTCCACTCACCCTTCCAGCACACATATTTTGAGATAAAAGCTGTTATGGCAGCTATTGAGAAATATTTTGTTATAGGTGCCAGGCCTACACTGAATAGTGTAGTTAACAGCTTCCTATGGACAGTACGAGCCATAAAAACCTGTGAGAGTTCACTTCTGTGTATGGGGCTTAAGAGACAACCCCCTGAAGAAGAATTTCTTAAGTCAACACATGGTCCTTGAGTCCTCTGAGATCCCATTATCTAGCTCACACCATTATTCATTATCCTCTGACTCCATGGAACCTCCAACCTCTACAATGAGATAAAGAGAAAAATTAATCAGGGAGAAGCAGGAGGGAGGAAGAGCAGTAAAGAATTTATCATTACAGTACTGAACAGAAGCAAAAGATAGGAAGAATGGAGTGTAGAGAGGAAAGACCTAAATAATGGTAGTAATAGCTAATGTTTACTCAAGGTTAACATGTTACCACTAATGGAGATATTATACTTCCTCTTCTACCTTGGAAGGAACTGAGGTCAGAAGTGCTTCTATGGCCTGCCTAAGGTCACTAACTAGGAAACAGAAGAGCCAGGTCATAAAGCTCACATCAGCCATGGACGTCAGACTGTGTGGAAGACCTCAGAGAGAAGCTCAACAGCCTCAAGCAGAATTACTGTGATATAGTGAAAAGACACTTTGGAGTCAGGAGTTAGTGATTGAGCTGCAGGGAAACTGATAATATAGAAATGGGGCATGGCCCCCATTTTAAGTAGAATAACATCATTGTGACCTATTGTAAAGTGGGACTATGTAGATAGCATTTCAATGAGATACAAATATTTCTGTACTAAAAATCTGTTTTGGAACCTCTGGACTAGATGTTTTGGAAGCCACTATTATTTTAAGCATTCTTTCTAATTGCAAATGGGGGAAGCACAAGATATGTGGCATAGGAAGAAGAGCTCTATTGAGGCTAGTAGCTCTTAAGGTTTACTTGCTCAACAAATTATGCACAAAGTCAAAACCAAGTACAAAAATCCCTTTGTCTTCTACAGTTGGGTTACAAAGCAGAGAACACATCAAGTTCCTAATATGTAGATAAGGTATACTCGAGATGGGGCAATTCTTTTCAAGGTTCAAGTCCCTACAATCACTTTATTGTGTTAGATTATATTCTTTACTGAAAAGGTAAGACTTGAAGCTGCTTCTTGACTTATGTGGACTCTATTTTTCCAAAAGGCTAATTTTGGTGAAACTAGAATGGAAGACTAGTTGGGGAATAGGAAAGAAAAAAATGTAAAAATTCTGGTAAGATGAAATGTTAGCCCCTGGAAGAGAAAAAAAAAGATGGCTGGATGTGGTGGTGCACACCTGTAATCCTAGATATTCAGTAGGTGGAGATAGAAGGACCATAAATATGAGGAAGATGGCTTAGGTAAAAGATCAAGACCCTATCTGATTAATAATAACAAAAGTAACAAAAGGAACAGGTACAGCTTAAGTAGTAGCCTAGCAAGTTTGAGGCCCTTGGGTGCAATCCCCAGTTCTTCAGTTCTAGAGACCAAAAACAAGAAAAAGAAAATGATTCCAGATGTAAGCAAGTTCCACTTGCAAAAAGTTGACTAGAAGCTTCCAAATAGATAATACTGGGACCTTGCATTTCTTTAGTTCCTCCAGCAGTATTGTGCCCCACCACTACTCAGAATGCTATATGGATAGACTGCTATTTCTAACTTGCCTTGTGGACCTATGAAAGGAACACAAAAGCCTCTGATGGAAGCAGTAAACTATCAATAGTCTTCCTACTTCCAGCAGACTCAGAGTCTATCTTGAAATGAAGTAGACTTTGGGAGCAATGCACAAAAGGACATACTTTGTCTCTTCAAATGAGTTTCAGTGAAATTTGGTACATGTCACTGTACCTAAGTTTATTCCAAATTTAAGTATTTGGGAAAAACTAAATACTAAAGTTATATTCTTGGGAAAGTAACAATGTTCCTCAAGTAGACTGGAATAAACAATGTTAATTCATGAAATCAGTCTGATTCTGCAGAGCAGTGATGAAAGCTTGCAAGACTTTGGCATTAGTTCCCTTAGCAAAGCCAAAGCCCAATGTGCCATGGATCAGATAATTATGGAGTGGGAAACTCTTCTCAGACACAGCTCAATATACACAACTCTCAAATTGCCTCTGAAACAAACTTTCCAGACATTTCACCAGCACATGGCCTCCTGTGGTGCCCCAGAAGACAAGGATAAGACAAATTGTTTGATGTTACCTAAAAGTCAGGAAATAACCCATGCTTTGCTGTGGGCTAATTAGGGTTGACTTTTTTTTTTCCTCTCTCAATTTTGCCAGAAGACTACCAAAACAGAAAGACATCAAAACCCACCCTAGCGATTTTCCTTGGATGATAGCAGATAGTAACAGGCAAGCACATTGTTTGGCATTTAGTTCATCCACAGTTTAAATAAGGGTGGCCCTGTTGGCCAAGTATCTATGAAATCACTCCCCTCCCCTTTCCACAATTTGTATACTCTCCCTTCCTCATTGCATCTCCCCAGACCTCACCTGGTTGATAACATAGATGCCATAGTCCAACTGCTGACGCTGCAGAATCGGGTGCAAGTAATACAACCAATACCTGAGGTGCTCCTGCCGATTGCGGAATGGAATAATGATAGCCACCTTATGAGGAGAGATGCAGTCTTTGGGTTTGTGACGGCCACCCATCTTCACCTCAGGGTTCTGTTTTGCCAAAAGATCCAGATCCACAGGAAAATTAAACTGAATCATCATGGGGCCAACTGGAGAAAAGGAATGAAGGAAAAGTTAGGAAGTCACAGGATGCATCACTCTGTCTGCACAAGATGACTGTCACAGCTACAAAGGAGCTATCTTCTTTTCAGGGGTAGTGAGGAGGAGGGTAGCATAGCTGTGAAAAAAGCATTTGGGCCCAGCACGGGGTGCCATGTCCAGCACTAAAGTGACCATTTCAGGAAACACCTCAGTGTTGAAAGTCCTAAATTCTAGACCCTCAGTGCTGGGCCAACTAAAATGACTGGTTCCTATATGAAACTCTCTCTACCCTAGACTCTACCTCTCCAACTCACTATAAAATGGCTTTTGTGACAGGCTATTGTAAAAGATCAGTGAACATAGATGATAAAGCACTTTCTTAGAAATTCTGAGGCTGCGATCTAGCTCTGCCACCAGCAGAGATGTAAAAGGTTACAGTTCTTTGAATTTATCCTAACTGGGGAAAGGGATGTGGGGGAGGGTAGAAAGTGGAGATTAGCACTGTGGAGGAAGTGGGCTTCAAACCAGAAAGTCGTGGGAAACAGTAGGGACCTGATACAGAACTGAACCAAATTTCAGTGGAAAGGATAGAAGCAATAAGACCCTGGGGGACTGGGGATAAGAAATGAAACTGGAAAGAACATTTTAAAAAATAGTTAAGTAAGGGGTGCCAGCTGGCAGTGGCTCATGCCTGTAGTCCTAGCTACTTAGGAGGCTGAGATCTGAGGATCAAGGTTTGAAGCCAGCCAGGGCAGAAAAGTCCACAAGACACTTTTTTTTCCCTTTTTTTTTTAATTGTGAGAATACCATACCAAGGAGTTACAATTACATGGACAAGATAACGAGTACATTTCTTATCAAGCATTGTTGCCTCCTCTTTGTTTCCCCTTCCCATCCCTTCCCATACTCCCCCTTCCCCCCACCTGATCCTCCCCCCACACCCCACCAAATTTGTAAAGTTCGTTTTTCAACATAACAGACTTGTACATCTCATTGTTGTAATGGGTCCACCTGTATTCCACAAGACTCTTATCTCCAATTAACCACCAAAAAGCTGGAAGTGGATCTGTGGGCTCAAATGGTAGAGCACTAGCCTTGACCTAAAAAAACACCTCAGGGACAGCACCCAGGCCCTGAGTTCAAACACCAGGACCAGCACAAAAAATATAGTAGGGGGTAAAGCAACAAAGGGATAAAGATGGAGTTAGTCAGGGATGGCTCCAATGTTTCTGGCCTAAAAGAACATGGATCCAAATAGGAGAAGGAATCAGTAAGAATATTTTGCTTACAGAAAAACTGATGAGATATGGATAGTAGATTTAAAGAAATGGTCAAGATCTAGATTCAGGGCATGCGGCACACATGGAGCAGTCCAGGCACACACAAGGGAGTCAGGGACAGAGCCAAGAACTCCCTGCACTTCAGATTTTTTCCAAATGGTTCCAGGAAACAGAAGACTCAACAATATGTGCAATAGAAAACATAGCCTTTGAGCTGGGGACAGGTGGCTCACACCTATAATCCTAGCTACTCAGACTGCTGAGATCTGAGGATCTCAGTTCAAAGCTAGCTGGGGCTGGAAAGCCTGTAAGACTCTTACCTCCAATGAACCAACCCAAAACCAGAAGTGGAGCTGAGGCTCAAAGTAGTACAGCACTAGCCTTGACAGTGCCAGGCCCTGTGGTCTAGCTCCGTGGCTGACTTAAAAAACAAACAAAACAAAAACCTTTGGTCAAATCAGAGCTGGAACCCCACATACTCAATCTTACACAGGAGACACATAGCAAAGGCACTGAGAGACTGTGGTCACAAAACTCCTTTTACTTTTTTTTTTTTTGGGGGGGGAGGGTAAGGCTGTCTTCAAACCAAGATCCTCAGATCAGCCTCCTGAGTAGTTAATATTATAGGCATGAGCCACCAGCTCCTAGCACTAAGTAACTTCTTTATTTTTTTTAATTGGTTGTGGGGCCTGACCTCTGGGCCTAGGAGCTGTCCCTCAGCTCTAGCTAGAGCTCTACCACTTGAGCCACAGCACCACTTCCAGCTTCTTCTGCTTATGTGGTGCTGAGGAATCGAACCCAGGGCCTCATGTATGCAAGGCAAGCACTTTACCACTGAGCCATCTTCCCAGCCCCAAAACTCCTTTAACTTTGTTAACCCATCATTTCCCAAACTTACTGGTTATAAAACCATTTTGTCAGGGAACAAACTTTAAGAACTGCTACTGTAGTGTATTTACCTTCACACTGACCACTAGAACGAAGAAAAGATCTCACAGAACAGCTGAGAACATGAAGCACAGGCACAGATCAAAGTTCACCTGAAACACGCTGGTGAGTGGCTCCAGGAGCCCTAGAGCCACTTGCTCTCTTAAATGAGAACCGCCTGAGAAAGTGAAGCAATAAGCCTGCTTCACCTGCTGCATGGCAGCAGGCATGGTATAGCAGCTGCTGCCTCCTCTCCCTCCCCAGGACACTCCTCACATCATCCCTCCCTCATCATTTATCCAGTTTCTTCATCCCAGGATCCGTCCCCATTAGTTCATTTTCTTCTGATACAACAGCTGTGGTCATACCGCTTTCCTGCTAAAAGCCTTCAATAGCTCTAGGGCTGTGTGGCCTTAGCTAGGCAACACCGCCTTCCAGTCAACTCTGTCCCCAATGCATAATTATAAACTATAACTGTATGTCCACACCTTCCCTTTTGCCAGAAATGCTCTTTTCTATCTCTTCAAACTGGCAAATTTTGAAATGAGAGTCTGACATCAATTGAATTACAGTCTTTCAATCTCTTTGACAACCCTTGGGGAGGCCAAGGGCCTCATAGCTCTGTCCTTCACAAGACTGCCACTGACTCATCCCAAACTTTTCAGGATACCCTCAGCTTCCTAAGCACAGTGCTCCAAGACTAAGTCAGTGGTTACCCTGGATCAGTTTTTCCAAATCCTGTCATCAGAAACTCCTCAGACAATTGGTACAAATATAGAATCTCAGTCCCCTCCCCTAGAGAGTCCAACTCAGCAAATCTGGAAGGGATAATTAACAAGGACCAGTTGGGCAATAAGGGAGCGGAGTGGCTCACCTTCACAAACCTTGAAACTTTCAGGCAAAGAAGGGCCTCAGGACTTCCCTCCACTTCTACCCTTCCCCAAGCCTGGCCTGCTGAACTCCCCAGCTCATGAAAAGGAAAGCCCTACAACATCTGCAGCCCACCCTATCTTTGTTTCTGAAGATACTGTTAAGCACAACACTATTTTTGGGAACCCAAGAAGCATTTGGGCTGCCATACTACTAACTTGTTCACATCTTCTAAAACCAATACAGAAGACAGTATTTCACATTTCAGACTGCCCAGACTCTTTAGACAAGACATTTACAGATGGGAAAGTAACCTAGAATTGTCCTTGCAGCGACTGCAGAGAGTCAGTCCAGAGGTATAAAGCCCCAGGCAAAGGAAAGATGCCTACGCCCTGGTCCAACTCTACTAGTGACTTGCTAGATGCGCCTTGAACAAGTACCACCCATTCTCAAGATACTGTTTTTCCTATTTGTAAATTGCAGGGATTGACTGAATGGACTATTAAGGTCTCAGAAAAACCTGAATGTCCAATGATGCTCAAAAACGAGAAGGAGAACAGGGACCCAAACCAGTATCTTGCAGAAATCTTCCAGAAGATTTCATCTTCTGATCTCATCTTCCCTTATCTATGGGGGCATGATAAACATGCAGGCAGGAAGAAATGAGTGCCGTGGATGGAAGAGTTAGAAATAAATTTTGATCACTACATCACATTCTCCCATGTGCCCACTAACTTGCTACCCATGTGTTCTCAGCTTCTTTTCTTGATGTCAGTCTTCACTGGTGCTCTCCCTAGACATTCTTTTTTGTTTTCACTTAAGCAATAATCGTTCTATTGCCACATGGTTCTTCCAACCCCAGAGCCAAAAGAATATGGCTAGCTAGCTATCTGTCATGAAACCTTAAACTGAACCTGACTCAAATGAACTCCTATTGATCAGCACATAGAAACTTTCTTCCCTTCCATGGTTCCTTCAGCAACTGATAATGCTCACCACCCAAATGGAGCTGATCCATCTTTCATTCCCACTCCTCTTTCCCAAAACCCAACACACACACACACACACACACACACACACACACACACACACAGAGTCTACCATAAAACCAGTCTTTATTCTGCAATGTGTTTAAAGAAAACCCTCCCTGGGATGTATCAAGGTGCTTAAAATTGGATCAACCAATACTTTTTAGGTACCAAATAAATGCCAAGTTGTATGCCAGCCTAAGAGGAGTGAGCTGAGGGAAGATAAGAGGATGGACAAGACAGTTTCTTCCAGAAGCAACCTGATGAACATATAAATGAAAATTTCCCTGGTTCACATCTGACCAAGGAACTTGATCTTCTACTGGCTCTGTGCAGAGTTTTATCACTGACAACCTCTTCTCATTCTGCTGTTACCATCTGTAACTCCCTCACAACCCTTACATGCCTCCAATACATCAAAAGCACTGAGCCTCAATTCATCCTCCTTGCCCAATTAGGCAATTCTTTCTGTGCCTTCTCTCTCTTGACACCTCCACAACTCTTTGAGTATCCTGAGATTGTACCATTGAGGCTGAAGAGCTTCAGCTGTGCCAGATCTGAAGTCAAATGTCTTCTGGGATACAGTGTCAGCTAGAGGCTTCTCCAAGTGCCCTGTACACCTCCTGCCATGCTACAGGGATCTATACACTGAGAACACCCAGAAGACTCAGATTCCAGGAAGGCAACAATTAACACTTTTCAGAATCATGCAGACAAGCAGCCAGTTTTAGTGGCACTGCCTGGAGCTACAAGCACAGGGCTGAAAGCTAAATGCTTTGGGTCAGTCCTTAAACCAGGCCAAAGCACCCTTGCTGTGTGGCGCATGGCATGTGCTACCACAGGCCTTCAGCCCTGCTGGGCTGGCTTGTGTGTTTTCTTGGCTCTGAAAGCTGGGAGGCAGGG